CTAAGGCATAGAGAGGTTAAATCCCAGGGTCACACAACTAGTAAGTATTGGAGGTGGAATTTAAACCTAGTTCTTCCTGACTCCAAGTTCAGTACCCTATTTATAAAGAAAGATACCTTCCTCTTCTTGGTGGAGAAGATGGATACTATGGGGACAGAATGTTTTATACATCAGATGTGGTAACTATATCCACTTATTTAACTAAGATCCTAAAGTTGGGGCCAGGAAAGATCTTAGAGGTCATCTAATCCAAAGGCTTCAGTTTCCTCTGGGAAGTGGTATGGAGGCCTATCCCCAACAAGATAAGTCACAAGCTCACCCATCAGGCTTGAATACCTAGGGAAGAAGTCTGAGTTTCCAATGGAAGGGAGATGAGGGGGATGGATGGCCATAAATAAGACTGCATGATGATATGGCAGGCAGGAAAGTGATAGATTGATGCTAGCTATTAATTATGTGTTATATGAAAGACCCAGTGCTGGAGTCTACAGAGTGTTGAGAATATTACATTCAATAAATTCAAATTTGACACTTTTAGTAAGCACCTACTGGGGGAAGACACTGTTCTGGGTGAGGGGAATAGAAAGATGAAAAACTTTGATGCCCCAAAGGAAGTGCTCTGTGATAAATGGAGAAAAGTCTGGAGAAGATCGACTTTGATGAGAGTCATGGAATGGCATCTGGACCAGCCTCTCCAAGGTTGGCAATGAACTCAGTGGAAAGCATAGGACCACATTACTGATAATCAAGAGACCCAGGAGTAAACTCTGGTTCTTTCACTCAGCTGTTTAACACTTTGAGCAAATCTCCTTCTTGGTCTCATCTTTCCAATCTGTAAAATGGGGACTGATGATGATGATGGCTATAGAGCTAGACTGAGCAAGAACTGAGCAAGATGTGATTCAGGTCCAAAGATATTTCTTATAACAAATTAGGTGGATTAAAGGAAGCTGTAAGTATAGCATCGCCACCACCACCACATGTATCTCATTCCCCCGCCTCTTCCCCCAGTCCTACTTGACAGGAAAAATGCCAGTGTTTCAGTAGTGGTTATCAGAGACTGAGGCACAATGTTATGGCCCCAGTAATGGAAGGGTTGCTTTGCCATGGAGCAGCAAGTGGTCTTGAAAGAAAGCCGTACAGCAATTACAAGGACATAAGGGGAGGATGGGCCAGAGGAAGCGGGACTGACCATAGCACGACCTGAGGTGTATTAACTGTGTGCTAAGTAGAGTTGTTCCTATTCTGTGACTGGGATCTGAAGCCAGAGTGTCTTTGAGGCTGACCAGAGTAGTTAGGTAGGTAACAAGAATTTTTTTTAAGTGCTTATGATGTGACAGACACTGTGCTGATTTGATCCTCACAACAACCCTGGGAGGTAAGTGCTATTATTGTCCCTATTTTAGAGTAGAGGAAATTGAGGTAGACAGAAGTTAAGTGACTCATCCACAGTCACACAGCTAGTAAGTGTTTGATGCTGGATTTAAACTCATGTCTTCCTGACTCCAGGCCTAGTGTTCTATTAACTGCACCACATAAAATAGTGGGATGGAAAGGGCTAGGCTGGTATGATGTCTACAGGCACTGTAGGAAGGGGGTGTAAGAGAGGAATTACTAGCTCTGAGAGGACTTCTGTTTTAGCCTTGGCATTTACTGCTTTTATGGGTTACTGAGCATATCACGACCCTCCCCCACAGTCCTACCTCTAGGTGCCATGGGGTTGGTAGTGGCCAAGAAGGTCTTGAATTCACTCCCCAAGTCTGGCAATCTATTTCCTCTTCACTGGCTATGGTGGCAGGCTTACTGCTCGTCAGGTGCAATTGCTATAACATAACAGAGTTGGATCAGACAGTGCCAAAGATCCCTCTGGTCTTGTGCCATTCCAGACAATCCCAGTAGATTGTGAGTTTCCTGAGGGCAGGGACTGTCTTTTGCCTCTTTTTGTGTCCCTAGAACTTAGCACTATGCCTGGCACATAGTAGGCACTTAATGTTTATTGACTAACTGAGAAGTCATATTCTACTCTGTGTTCTAAGGTGCCATCCAGTTCTGACAGTTTATGTTCTCTCTTCTAAGGCATGTTGAGCTCTTACTTCCTATGTTCTAAGGTCCCTTCTAGCTCTGGCATTCTCTGTTCTTTGTTTCAAACTCTCTTCTAGTTCTGACTGTATAATCTATGTCCCAAGATCCATTCTAGCTATGACATCCTGTGTACTGAGGCCCACTCCAGCTATGATATTCTATGTTCTTTGTTCTAAGCTTCCTTCCAGATCTCACACTCTTGGGTTCTATGTACTAGAGAATCTCCCAGCTCTGACATTTTATGTGGAAGGTTTTACAGGCCATGCAGACCCTCTCCAGTGGCTCCTGCCCCTAGTACCTTGTGGGCCCAAACCTTGGGCCTTGATTTCCTTAGTAACCCCAGAGGCTCAGCTCCTTGGCATCATTGTTTTAAAGCTGAAAGTAATGACAATTATTTTCATAATTAACTAGCTCTTCAAATTAATGCCAATTACACTATGCAATCATGATTAAAACTATGCATTAATCAACTCTGCCAACCTACTTATTAGCCTCTTTAAATAATGATCATGGAGAATGTATGGGAAGGAAGGAAAGAAACCAAGAGAAGCCAAGATCAGTGGCTTGTTCCCTCAAGGACATACCTGGATAAGAATTCTCACTCAGAGCAGCTACTGCCTTTTTGTATATGAACAAAACTACAGTGGGGTCCTCTACATGTAGAAAATCCCATCTTGCATTAAGGTTCCTTGTTAGCTGCATGGTATTTTAGGGGGGAAAACCAACCCTGGGTTGAGAAGGCAGGAAATCTTGGGTTCCAGTTCCTGCTATGCCAGTGGAGGGCTATGTGACCTTGGGCAGATTCCTTCTCATCTCTGGGCCTCAGTTTCCCCATATGTGCAATGAAGGAGTTGGACTAGATCTCTAAGATCCCTTTGAACTCAGACAAATTGTAGCTCTTGCCAGGTCATCATTCTCTCAAATATTTTTGACCCCTGTGTGTTTTCATGTCATGAAGGACTTTTTAGATCTATCTACTTCTGTCCATGGCCTTGGGACCAGGGTTAGTTTTTGATTACACTAATGGAGGTGAACAGAGGCATAGAAAATAAAAAATGACAGCTCACTCAAGAGTCATTTCCTCTTGGCTTTAGAGAATGTTTGGGGGTTTATGTTTGAGTATGGGTCTGATGGATGTTCCAGGAACTCACATCAAAGACAAGAAAGAAGCCTGGATGACTCAGGAGATGCTGGAACCCAGCCCCCAGCTATTTCTTTGGGTTGGGGTGGGACCCTACTCTCCCTGTCCCTCAGCAGCAACTTAAGCAGAGATGCCTTTCCCTCCACCATCTCTCAGCTAGTATGTCTTATTATTATCAACAACAAGTATTTATTAAGTTGTTAAGTGTTCCACTCTCAAAAAGCTTCCCTGCTGTATGTAAAGTGAGATCAATTAGACATTTTGAGATGTCAACACACAGAGAGATGTTAAGGGAGTGAGTAATTCAGCAGAGTGGATGAGGGTCATCACCAGAGGGAGGGGGATATCAACAGAGCAAGCCATTCAGAAAACAGGGTGCTATTCATTAATAGAAAGCACTAATCAATACAACAAATAATCCAGCAGCAAAAGTGATTGCTAGTGGTCAACAGACAGAGGTTTCAACACAGCAAATAATTCTAGAGGAAGCTATGCCACAGTGGGTCCCCAGCTGGCAATAAACTTGAAAAGCTTCTCTGTCAAGGAAAGTTGCTGGTGTAGACAGGGGATTATATCAAGCTGCCCTCCAACGAGGGTCTGACCCCTTGGCAGAGCCACAAGTTCACATGGATAATATCCTGGGAAGGGGTGTTCTCTGTGATTGCTTGTTCAAGGCTGGTCCCTGGGGAAGCCATCATTGCTCTTAATGATTCCTCTCACCTCCTCTGATTCAGAATGTGAATGTTTACAGAGGATAGAACCTTGATGGGACTTGGGGTCCTAGGGATCATTCCCTCTTCAGCCTCACTCCTAACCCAAGAATAGATTCCTCCTAAATGAGGACTCCAGCTACAGACATTGTATATATAGTCTTGGATTAAGAGTCACAAATAGCTGCTTCCCACACTTAACCATCCCTGTGATCCTAGTCAAATCACTTACCTTCTATGATTCAGTTTCTTTATTTTTAAAATTAGTGCTTACCTTAGAATGTGGTCATATGGATGAAATGAGATATGATATATGCAGGTGGAGTGGAGAGTAAGAGGACTAGACTTGAAAATCAGGAAGACCAGAGTTCAAATCCAGCCTCAGCTATTTATTAGCTATGTGACCCTGGGCAAACCTTTTAATCTCTGGATGCCTCAGTTTCTTCATCTGTAAAATGAGAATAATAATAGTACTTACATTACAGGACAGTTGTGAATATAAAGTGAGGTAACATTTGTAAAATACTTTATAAACCTTAAAGCATTATCTAAATACTAGTTGTTATTACTATTATGCACCTTAAAACTTACCAGCTAGCTATTATAGATGGGGTAAGGGGAAAAGGAAAGGGATTAGACTTGCTGCCAAAGAACTGAAGCCACTGTTCATAGGAACCCTCTCTCCCCAATCACCTACAGCCTTTTCTTTACCCAGAGACTCACCTCCCCGGTCTGGTCCTCTGTTCCGTTACTTATATAATAATCCTATTCTGTTTCCACAGCTGTGGGTGCCCCATCTCTGGAGAAGGTTGGCTCCCAATCCATTCTAGTCCAACAAGCATTTATTAAATACCTAGCCTAGGATTCAGAGATACAAAAACAAAAGGAAAATGGTCCCTGCCCTACATGTTGCAGTGGATAGATTGGTGGGCCTGGAGTCAAGAAGATCTGAGTTTAAATATGGCTTCTCCTTCCCTGATCTCTGAGTGTTGTGAGTTTGACTTCTGCCTGGGGAAGACAGAGGAGAGTTTCTCAGTCCAGCTAACTCCAAGGCTTCTTTATTGCAGGGGGAATCTTTGAGTATGCAGATGGACCCAATGCCCAGGTCATGAATGCAGAGGAACAAGCCTTCCGATTTTCTGCCAATATCATCAACAGGAACAGGACTTTACTGCCCAATACCACCTTGACCTATGATATTCAGAGGATACATTTCCATGACAGCTTTGAAGCCACTAAGAAAGGTAAATTTTCAGTCCCTTTCTTTGACCAATCTCTTCCTGGGAGGATTTCCTCTAGCCCCAATTGCCTAAAGCCTTTAGAACCATGGCCAAAAATATGGGGTTAAGAGTTGGAGATCCTTGGTGTTCCCATCAGAATTAGGAAGCCTACTTATTTTGAGTTCTGTTAGGGGAAACAATTGAAAGAGAGGGAAAAAGAAAGAGAGGAGAGGAAGATTGAGGTCAAAGAAGATAGGGAAGGGGGTTAAGAGGGAGGGAGAAGAAGAAAGACAGATAAGTGAAGAAAAAAACAGTAGAAGAGGAGATAATCCTTCTTGGGAAGAAGAATTTCCTCTAGCCTCAACTGCCTAAATGCCTTAAAAACCATAGCTAAGAATATGGTGTTAGAAGTACATGATGTTCCCATCAGACTTAGTAAGCCTACTTATTTCTAGTTCTGTTGGGGGTAACAATTGAGAGAAAGGGAAAGAGAAAGATGGGAGAGGAAGAAAGAGGGAAAAGAAGAGAGGGAAAGGGAAATAAGAGGGAGAATAAAAAGATGGATAAGTGAAGAAGAGGAAGAAAGTAGATGAAGGGGGAGATAAGAGGGGAAAGAGATGTTAGAAAGATGAAAATGAGAGGTAAAAGGGAGAGAAGAAAGGAGACAGAAAGAGAAGTGAAGAGGGGGATAAGAAGAAGAGGTTCAAGATTGTGAAAGGAAAAGAAAGGGGAAAGCAGAAGATAAAGTGGGAAAAGAAAGGGAAAAGAAAAGGAGGAAGGAAGATAGATGAAGAAAACTTGCAAGAGGAGGAGAGGAATGACAAAGGAGAAAATGGCAAGAGAGGGAAAGGAAGAGAGGGAAAAGAAGGGGAAAGGAAGAGAGAAGAAGAAAGAGGGAGAAAAGAAAGTGGTAGAAAACTATTGGGAGTAGCAATTCAGAGAGACAGAAAGACAGAAGGAGAGGAAAAGAAAGGGACTAGTGAAAGGAAGAAAGCATGAGAATGGGGAAAAGAATGTAGATGGAGGAGAGAGGGGCATGAGGGGAAAAGGAAGAAAGTGAAGAGAAAATGTACGAAAGAGAGAAGAGGAAAGAGGGATAAGAGGAAGCTGAATGACCAGACCCAAGGAATAGTCATTAAGAAATAGATATCAGCTTGTGAGAGGTGTCTAGTGGGGTGCCCCAGAAATCCATTGTTAGTCCATTTAGTCAACTAGCATTTATTAAGCACCTTCAATGTGCTACAAATTGTGCTATATCTGATTTTTTAGCCCAATGTTGTTAGACATTTTTGTTAATAACTTGGATGAATGTACAGATGGTATGTTAATAAAATTTTGAAGATTATGCAAATCAGAAAGTGATAGCTTAAAGTTAGAGGGATGTCAAGTGACAGAGTTAGGATCCAAAAGGATATTAACAAGGTGAAATATTGGACTGAATTGAATAATGTGAAATTTAGTGGGGATAAATATAAAGTTTTATGCTTAGGTTCAAAATATCAGCCTCACAAGTCTAACTTGAAGAAGGGGTGGCACTTCCCATGAAAAAGTCTGGAGGTTTTAGAGAATTGTAAGTTCAATATGAGTAAACTATGGGACATGTCGACCAAAAAAGGTTATGAGATCTTAGGCTATATCAAGAGGTACTGAAACAGGAACTCTTCAGAACAATCCTCTAGAGACCATGTTTTCTTTCTGGGGAAGCTAATACACTCAGTTTTGAATTCTCTTCTGGGATTGAGTAATATGTACTCACTGTGGGGTGATTGAGTGCAAAGTCACCTATCTATATCTGGCTGGTCTCAGACAATGCTTCACCTACCATCCACCCAACCACCTGGAAACCATGGTCTGCCCAACATGAAGACCTTGCCATTTTCCCTGCTGTACTCTACATCTAATTAGTGACAACATCATTGTCTCCTCCATAGTCTGTGAGATCTGTGAGTGGAGGAGCTGTGTTTTCACTTTTTTTTGTACACCCAGTGTATAGCACAGAGCCTGACACATAGTAAGCACCTAATCAATGCGTGTTGATTGACTGACATCTACCTCTCTTCCCACCTCTTGCTCTGGGAAGAGTAATCAAATCAGTGCTATCATGGCTAGTAGGTAAAGTGTGACAACTGATTGATCTTTCACTCTACTCACCATCCCAGTGACTCCCCATACTCTAAAACTCTCTTTGCTATCTATAACCCCCCTCTATGTCTTATCTAGCCCTACTAGAATGTAATTCCCTTGAAGACAGGAACTGTTTCACTACAGTGTCTAGCATCATCTGGTACATAGCAGGTGCCTAACAAATGTTTTTTTCATTCATTAATTACCAACAAAACAGAAGAGTTTATAGTCTCATCTTACTCTGTCTGGGTCAGACTACAACTGGACTATTGTCTTCAGTTTGGGCACCTAATTTTAGGAATAGCACTGATAAGCTAAAGATTACCTAGCAGAAGGGGATCAGAATAGTAGGAGGTCTCAAGATTATGTGAGTATTAACTGAAGGAACTTGGATAGAGCAGTGTTTAGCCTGGAGAGAAAAGCTAGAAGACATGATAACAGTCTATCACATCTATCATGTATCTGAAGGAGTGACATATGGAAAAGGGACTAAATTTGGCTCAGAACTAGTAACGATGGATAGAAACTGCAAAAGGGCAGACTTCTTAACCACTATAGCTATCTAAAAGTGGAAAGAGTTGGTGGTGGTTCCCTTTCCTTGGAGGTTTTCAAGTGAAAACAGGATAATCACAATGGAGAATATTTTATATTATTTTTCATATTTCTTTGTTTTACCTTATTTTTCTCAATTACATTACAAAAATGTTTAACATTTGTTTTTTAAGAAATTTTGAGTTCCAAATTCTCTTCCTCTCTTCCCTTCTTACCTTGAGAAAGCAAGCAATTTGACATAGATCATACATGTGAAGCCATGCAAAACATTTCCATATTATCCATGTTGCAAAGGAAAACACAGATTAAAAAAAAACAAGAAAAATAAAGTAAAATAAGTATATTTCAATATGAATTCAGACTTCAAATATTCTTTCTTTAGAGGTGGATAGCACTTTTTTCATCATAAATTCTTGAGAATTGTCTTGGACCATTATGTTGCTGAGAATAGCTAAGTCATTCAGAGTTGATCATCATATAATATTGCTGTTACTGTGTAAAATGTTGTGCTCATTTCATTTTGCATCAGTTCATATAAGTCTTCCCAGGTTTTTCTGAAACCATCCTGCTCATCATTTCTCATAGCACAATAGTATTCATAACAATCATATACCACAACTTGTTCAGCCATTCCCCAATTGATGGACATCCTTTGAAGGATATTTTAGAGAGGATTCTCTACTGAGCACAGGCTCTTCCAACTATGAAATGGAAGAGGAGATAAAAGGAAAAGGAGAGGAAAGAAGCAGAAGGTTGAGGGAAGAAATGGGAAAGTGAGGAAAAGAGGAGAGGAGAAGTAGAAGAAAGAGAATGAGAGGAGTAAGAGGAAGGGGAAGGAGAAGCAGAGTTGGAGAAAAGAAAATTGATGAAGACAGAGGGGAGGAGGGGAAGGAGAAATGGGATGGGGAGAAAGAAGGAAGAGGAAGAATAGAAATAAACTAGGAGAAAGAACAGAGAAAGAGAGAAAGGAGAAGAGATTAGAACCCTGAACATGTGATTTTTTCCCCCTCAGGATGTGGGAAAAAATAAATTTCAACCAATCAGTCCAAGTTCTCAAGTAAGTCCCCTCAGGGCATGAGAACTTAACCCAAAAACACCTTTAGCAACACTTTTGTTGGGTCAAGGCCTGGAAGACCTGGCTCAGTACAAGAGATCCTGGCCTTGTGAAGCTGAGCATGTTAATGGTTCCTTCCTTTCCCTGGGACTTCAAGGAACTAGAATCTTGCTTTGTTAATGCTACCTCCCAGGTTCCCACACTTGGGGGCTTTCTGAAAGTATCATGCATGGTTCTGCCATACTATATAGTCCTACAACAGCCAAACTCACTGCTTTGAGAGTCTCTAAGCTTCCCACTCTCCCTCCAAGAGCCTCCTGATGAAGGTCTCCTGGGGCTCTGAGCTAAAGCCAGAGTCTTCCAACAAGAGTCACAGAGATCCTCAGCCTATCATTGAAAAATCAAATTCACAAAGCAGTGCCCAGGATGGGGTGAGAGGCTGAAGAGCCTGTGAAATATAAAGACAAAGGACTCTGTGTTCACCTTGGCCCAATCTCAGAGCTCAGGCTCAGGCTCTGGCTCCAGACAGGCAAGTCTATGATTCAAATATTCAATTCAAATTAACAAGCATTTATTAAGTACCCTTAGCTCCCTTCAAGAGGCCTTTCATGCTTCCCCTAGTTGATGGTGCCCCCCCCATCACTATGCCTTCATTTTGTATATATCTTGTATTTACTTATCTCATGACCAGAGAACCATAAATTCAGACCTGGAAGGAAACCAGCTCAGAAACAAGGTACTCCAGACCCTTCATTTTACAAATGAGGAAACTGAGGCCCATAGAAATTGTAATGACTTGTTCTAGGTCACACAGGGTATAAGGAGCAGAGGTAGGGTATGAATCCAGATTTTCTGCCTCCAGAATCACCACTCTTTCCACAATACCACATTGTATCCCCCGACTAGATGGTAAGCTCCCTGAGGATAGGGACTCTCATTTTGTCTTTGTATCCCCAGCACTTAGTACACTGCCTCGCGCATAGTAGGAGCTTAATAAATATATATTGATTGATTAGTTAGTTGGTTAGGTGATAGTCTGAGAGAGACAACTTAGGTTGGTGGACGTTTCAGTGAAGAGAAATCAAGAAATGAGAGTGACAGTAGAGAACAAGGGTTCTTTACTTTGTGTTGTGGACCATTTTGGCAGTGTGGAGAAGCCTGTGGGACCCCTCTGTGGGGCAGTGGATTTCCTCAGAAAATAAATCCCACCATACACTCAATTGTGCTGTCTCAATCAAAGGCTAAACTCTACTATTAAGTCTTAAACAAAGCTAAGTGTGGGCACTTCTTATCTTCCTCCTTCTGCTATGGTTCCAAACCTTGAAATCCACCTTGACTGTTCTTTCTCCCTTACTTCTTTATCCAATCTGTTGCCTGATTCTATCATCTCTACCTCCACAGCTGCTCCCATCCATCCCCTTCTCTTGGATCACATGGGCACCACTCTGGTTGAGGACCTCCTCGCCTCTTGCCAGGATCATTTTAATGCCCTCCTAATTGATCTCCCTGATTCCAGTCTCTTCCTGCTTCCACCCATCCTCCAAATGATTGCCCATGTTGTTTTCCCGAGGCACAAGTTTGGCCGTGTCCCTTACTTCCTCATTCATACTTCCTTTGGTTTTCCAACTCCTCTGGCATTGAAAGCTCTTCACCACCTGGTCCTAGCTTAACTTTTGCAGGCTTATTCCATAGTTGCACAGTCTATACTGGAGTCTATGCACTCCTCAGTCCAGTCACACATACTGGTCTCCTCACTGTTCCTCCCCAGTGACATTCCATCTCCAGTCCCATTCTCACTTCAGATTTTTAGAATCCCTACCCTCCTTCAAAGCTCAGTTCAAATGCTCCCTGCTACATGCAGTCTTTTCCTACATTTAACCAAGTGGCACAGTGGACAGAACACTAGGCCTGGAGTCAGAAAGTCGTGAGTTCAAATTTGGCCTCAGACACTTAATAGCTATAAACTTTGGGCAAGTCATTTAACTCTGTTTGCCTCAGTTTCTTCATCTGTAACATGAGGATAATAAAGGCACCTACCTCCTGAGGTTGTTGTGAGGATCAAATAAGATATAAGTTATAAAGCACTTAGCACAGTGCCTGACACATAGTAAGCACTATGTTAATGTCAGTTATTATTATTATTATTATTTCCTGATCCCCCTCAGTGGATAAGGTTTTCCCCACCAATTAACTTCTATTTACTTTGACTAAGTTAGATGTACATGTGGTTTGCTCCCATAAAAGTACTTTTTTGTGTCCTAGTTCCCTAATGTTACCTATGGACCCTTTCTCAAAATAATGTCTCTAAATGCAAAAAATAAAATACATAGGATTAAAAACTAATTATATAGAAATATACTTATCAAATATATATTTAAAAAAACAAAATCCATGTGCCCTAGGTTAAGGACCCCTGAAATATAAGTTTCTTCAATGCATGAACTGTTTATTTTTGTGTTTGTATCTCTAGCAGCCTACCTTACTGCCTGGCATGAAATAGGTGTTTAATAGAGAATTGTTGATTGAGTGGTCAAGTCCAACCAGCCTAGAAAGTTTTCTGGATGGGGATTAAAGGGGGAAGAGGAAAGACTGTACACTCCTATGAGTAGAGCTGCAGTTTCTGACTGTTCACAAGTTCTGACGCTGTACACAGACCATGTCCATCTCTTTTCTTGCTGATCAGAGACCCTTAGGGATGCAACAGCTGGATGTTGCTGTCCAAGGTTATTAACTAGATGAGGCTAGCGTGTGCTGATGGTGAGCAACAGAGCTGATCACTTTTCCCTCCTAAACCACAGTTAGGTGCAGGTCCCCATCTAACATAGTCATGGGAGGGTCAAAGGCTCTGAAGCCCCAGGCTTGGCCTTGCCTCATGAAAGGAGACTAGAGGGCCGGCAGAAGGGCCCAGCCTCCAGCCAGCAGGCTACAAAGCCTCTCTGTATACTACTTAGACCGAGCCTGTTTCTCTTCCTGGCCAAAGCAGAGCAAGTCTGGAATCGACCCAGCACTCCCCAGGCTCCTGTCCCTTCACTTATTCTCTGGGTTGCTCAATTCCTTTTAAGACACAAATTGATTGGGATAATTCTTGCTTTAACTACAATTGCCACAGAAGGAGAAAAACCACTCTGCACTCAGACTGTGGATTCTGGTGACGACTGTGAGCCACAGTCATAGGGAAATGGCCAGAAAATGGATTCAAAATTGAAGCCTCATATAATAATGTAATTACTGCCCGGGCTCTGAGTGCTGTTAGAACAGGGGCCTCCTGCTGCCCTGAGAACTCTGGGGGCGGTGCCTGGCTGCAGCAAGTACAGAAGTTGCTGCTTACATCCTCCATCCTTGACTCCTTCTTCTGAGAGCACCATTATGTGCAGCAGAGAGTGCAGGGAGGGGAAGGGGAAAGGGAGAGAGGGGGGCAGAGGCACAGGAGGAAAGAAAAAAGAGAAAGAGGGTGACTAATATCTTATTCTGATGATGTGTCCCTGCCCCCACCTTTGTGCAGGATGAAACTAGGGGAGGTTGGTGCTGTCTGGAGCTTTGCTAGAATCATTCTTAGTTATCAGCACCAGTCCATCAATCAGCTGATCAATCAGCAAACTTGTATTAGGCCCCTACTATGTGCTAGGCACTCTATGAGGTGTTGAGGATACAAAAACAAAAAATGAAAAATTTTTGCCTTCAAGCAGCTTCACCTGAGACCCAGGATGACTAAGTGATTTGCCTGTGTTCACACAACTAATACATTTCAGGGGTGGGATTCAAACCGAGCTTCTTACTGACTCAAAACTCACCACATGATCCACTATGCCAAGCTGTCATTCCAAATAAATGCAATAATATTGGGGAGTTCACGACCTTCCAAGCTACCCCATTTCACTTTGGGACAACTCTAATTATTAGAATTTTTTCTATAGGGGAAGACAGTATGTACATAGACATGTACAAAATAAATACAAGGTAATTTTGAGGGGAAGGTGCTAGCAACCTGGGCTAATACATTCCAGGATCTCTGAATCTTGAGGTTAGGAGAGGCTAAACAAATACCTACTAGAACAAATTCCTTGACGGCAGGGAATTTATCTTCTTCTCTGTCTTTCTCCCTCTGGGGCTTAGCATGATGATGCCTTGCACATAGTAGGGGCTTTGTCAAATGGTTTATCAGATGGAATTCAATTGGTGGCAGTGCAGTACCATGCCAAAGATGATGGAGGTGGAGTCAGAGGTCCTGGATTTGAATCCTACCTCTTCTTGCCCCTTGTGTAAGCTTGGTCAAGTTACTCTCACCTATAAAATGAAGTGGTTGGACCCCACATGCCCTTTAGGGTCCTTTCTACAACTAAGCTTATATTCCTATGGTCCTATAAATTGAATTGAATCTAGTTCAGCCTGTATCTGAACAGAAATTCCTTGACAGCATCTCCCAAGAGGGTATATCCATCCCTCATTTGAAGACTTGCAGTGATTTATCAAGTTTTAAGTAACTGCCAAATGCCTTTGAAGCCAAGGAGTGGCATAGTCAGACCTGTGTATCAATCAGTGGTCTGAAGGATGGATTGGACAGGAGAGAAACTGGAGGCAATGAGTCCATTTAGGAGATTTCTGCAATAGTCTAGGTGAAAGGTGATGAGGCCATGTACTAGGGCACCATTAGGGTTGTGGTTGTGGGAGCAGAAACGAAAGCATAGATATGAGAGAGATTGTGAGCATAGAATGGACAAGACTTGTACATAATCATAACTGCTATTTGTAAAGCATCATGAAACATGAAAAACACATTATCTAGATGATCTCATTTGAGCTTCCCACTTAGATGCAGCTAGGTGGCATGGGTAGCATGGGTTTGTGCTAGGGTGACTAAACACAGCCAACATTGTATAAACATTTTATGGTCTGGATAATTAAAAGCTTCTGTCTGTTGTCAAATGATAATTTGGGTGGCTAGGTGTTGCAGTCTATAGAGCATTGGACCTGAAGTCAGAAAGATCTGAGTTCAAATCCAACCTTAGACACTTAGTTGCTTTGTGAACCTGGGCAGGTCACAAAACTGGCCCTAATACTAAGGTTAAAGAGCCAAGTATGTTGACAGGATGAGACAGGAGAGCCATATAAGAACTCAGTAGCAGAGAAATCCTGCTTTGGCAAATCTGGTTACCTCCGTGTAACCTAGGAGCTTTCCCTAGGAGCCTGTGCTCCCTGATGTTGTGGGTGTCCCTGGGAAAGGTTTGATCACTAGACGGTGCTGTGAGCCTCCTGAGATTTTTGGTACAGAGAAAACAAAAGGACTAGAAAGTAATGATTCTACATCACATGCTTAGTGACAGCTGTATCACTGATAACCTCTTCCAAACCCTTCCCTTTTCTCCCAGAGAAGAAGTAGCACACACCTGTGCTGTGTGTCAGTAGCTATGGGACACCAAGGTCCTGCTGCAGTTCAATATTCTGACTGACTAACTCCTCTCCATTACAGCCTGTGACCAGCTGGCCTTGGGGGTCGTAGCCATTTTTGGACCTTCTCAGGGTTCCTGCACCAATGCAGTCCAGTCCATCTGCAACGCCCTGGAAGTGCCCCACATCCAGCTACGTTGGAAACACCATCCCTTGGATAACAAAGACACCTTCTATGTGAATCTCTACCCTGACTATGCATCCCTCAGCCATGCCATTCTTGACCTTGTCCAGTATCTTAAATGGCGGTCAGCAACTGTGGTATATGATGACAGCACAGGTAGGTGCCAGGGTAGAGGGATCCCAGGGAATGGCCCAAATCCCCCAGGCCACACAACATGAATGACTGGACACACACTGTGTAAGCCAACTCACCTTCACAAGAGGCCAACCCAAAGGCTTGGTCCATGACTGCTTCCTCTCCTCTTAGGCAGAGACCCCATAGGGTAAGCTCTGCCTCTCCCTAATCCATCCCCAGCCATACCACTCACAAGCCCTCTGATGCCAGGCTTCTGGGAGAGATTGCTGTGAAGATCACCTTCTCCTCAGAAGTCACAAAAGTGACCTTTCCAACAAAAGGATGTTATATTAAGATTGGCAGGATAAATGCTCCTGGCTCTGACTTTCAGTAGCTGTGTGACCCCGGACAAATGATTTAACTTCTCTGACCATCCCTTTCCTCCCTTATTAAAGATAACAATGCTAGAACAGTAGAGTTCACTGGGATTGGGGTGAAGAAACAACTTTTTAATGTGCTGTAGAAATAGAAGTCATTCCCTCAATGTCATCTGTACCAGCATTTGCTTATTTCTTGTCTATCCATCTTTCAAGGCCCTACATAAGTCACACCTTCTCTATGAAGCCTTCTCTGATTACCCCAGGTCCCTTTTCTGAGCTCCTCCTGCCTTCTAACTTGAATTCAAAGGAAGAGGATCTGGGTCCAGATCCTGGCTCTCTGATTTACTAGTTATGTGATCTTGGATCTGTCACTTAGGTCCCAGTGGGCCTGTCTGAGCCTCAGTTTCCTCCTCTGTAAAGTGAGGGAGAGGAACTAGGTGACTTCAGAAGTCCATGACTAGATGCCACTTACCTCTGGAGTCAGAAGGGGTCAGGCATCTCTTTACCCTTTGCCAGATGATAGCACCCCTATATATATATTTATCCTTCATGACTCTTGCCCATACTCTCCCACAAATGCTAAGAGACCCACACCCTCATAATATTAAGAGAGCTAGAGGTCTTGGCAGAGGTGGGAAACCCCAGGTATGTAACAATGCAGGGTGTCCCAAAAACCTTTTGTTATTGTTGTTGTTGAGTTGTTTCAGTCCTATCCAACTCTTCATGACCCCATTTGGGGTTTTCTTGGTAGAGATACTGGAGTGGTTTGCCATTTCCTTCTCCAGTTTATTTTACAGGTAAGGAACTGAGGCAAACAGGTTAAGTGATTTGCCCAGGGTCACACAACTAGTAAGTATCTGAGGCTAGATTTGAATTCGGATCTTCCTGACTCCAGGCCCAGCAGGATGCTCTAGCCGCTGTGCCACCTTGCTTCCCCCCTCCAAAAAAAAGTCTTAGAATAGTTTTAAGTTAAGACTAAAATAACTTCAGTAGCTTGAAACTGCACTAAGACATTTGGGATGCCTTATTTTATCCTGGGCTTGGTCGATATGCTGGTTGGTTTTGTTGAATTTTTCCTCCTTTCTCTTTTTTGGTTTTTAATTCTTATTTATAAGGGGTTGGTTTCTGGGAGGGAAAGTTGGGAGGGATATATTGGGAAATGTAGGTGATATATAAAAAGTGTTTATACAATATATTAAATATATTATATATTAAGCAATATATTAAATAACACTAATAAAATATATGTCTGTAAAATATATAGATGCATATCAATAAAAATATGAATGAGCTTTTAAAAACAGTTCTAGAAGAAGGTCCCCAATAGGTTGCTTCCCCTATAAAGGATTTAAAAGATCTTATACATAGTAAGTAATCAATAAATGTTCAGTGATTAATTAGAGCCAGAGAATGTTAGAATTAGGAGGTCATTTAGACGTAGTCTAGACTGCCCCCCTCATCTTACTGATGGGGAAACTAAGGCACAGCGAGAGGAAGGCATTTGCGTAAGTCTACACATCGAGAGTGAGTACTACAGCCCAGACCAGAGCCCAGGTCTCCTGAATCCCAGTCCCACACTCTTTCCATGGCACCAAGTGATTGATTCTTCAGCTTAAATTGTTCCCTTCAGTTGCCTTCAGATTCAGGCAGGCAGCACCTTCCTGTCACCACAGGCCCTCAGGTGATATGTAAACGCCGCAAGCTCCTTTGCTGAGAATGAGAAGTTCAATCCAAAAAGAATTTGATAACAAGAAAAGGGATGATCAGAAAAGCTTAGAGCTCCAAGGGAGTGTAGAGATCAAATTAATCCAAAGCCCTGACTTTGCACTGGAGGCACAATTAAATCCCAGAGAGACTGAGGGACTTTCCCAAAGTTACCCAGGAAGTAGAAGGGCTGAGATTTGGACCAAGACGGCCAATCCAGGACTCTTTCCACCAACATTATGGCAACCTACAACTGATGGTCCTCACTTTCTCCCATCTCTACCGCTTGCATCTTTTTGATGGCTAGTTGGTGTAGTGGATAGAGCACCTGGGCTTGGACTCAAGAAGACCCAAGTTCAAATTTAGCCTCAGACATTTACTAGCTGTGTGATCCTGAGCAAGTCACTTAACCTCTTGTCTCAGAGGTTAAATGCCTCTGCCTCAGTTTCCTCAACTGTAAAATGGGGATAATAGCACCTACCTCTCAGGGTTGTTGTAAGGATTGAATGAAATAATATTTGTAAAACACTTAGCACAGTTTCTGGTACATAGTAGGCACTTAATAAATGCTTCTTCCCTTCCTTTACAAAACAGTTTGAAGTTATCAAAACTAACCTTTTCTCCCTCTGTTTCCTTCTCTTCAAAACTCCTCTCCTCTAATCCTCCACCCTTTCATTATAATAGAAACATAGATTTACATCTGGAAGTGAACTCAGAGACCATCTTGCCTAATATCTCGTTATACAGTTAGGAGACTTACCCAAGGCCACATAAACCCACAGTGCTCATCCCTCACCTCTGCTCCTCCTCCCCTACACCCATGCTAGACTATAAATGGGCCAATTCTCCATTCTGAAGGAAGAGAGCCAGGGTGAGTTTGCTTCTGTGAATCTTGGGGGCCCCTAGGAACTGGGGACCTCTAAACACACTAATAGGCAGGTAGGAATAGTGAGCTTGGGCCAGGGTCTTGAGGGCCTTTCATGCCAGGATCAGACCTTTATCTTATAAATTATGGGAATAAATAAGACTAGTGATATGTATATCTAGTGGTTATACAAGATGTCCCCAAATTCTTAATGTAGTTTTGATCTATTAAAATGTAAACTGCATGAAACTTCTGGGAAACCCAGTATAATGCCATGAGGTACACACAAGTTAACTCATTGATCCACACAACAATCCTGGGAAGCAGGTACAATAATTATCCTCATTTTACACGTGAGGAAGTAGAAGCTTCCCAGGGTCATAAAGCTAATAAATGTCTGAGGCAGGATTTGAACTCGGGTCTTCCTGATTCTAGGCCTGGTACTTTATCCACTGTGCCACCTAGCCACCCCCTGTAGCATTTTTATAGTGCTTTACAAATGTTACCTCATTTGATACTCACAACAACCCTTTGAGGTAGGTGCTGTTACTATCCCCATTTTACAGATAAGGAAATAGAGACACTCGGCAGTTAAATGATTTGCCTGGGGTCACACAGCTAGTAAGTGTCAGAAGCTGGATTTGAACTCAGGTCTTCTGAAGCTGGGCCCAGTGCTCTAACTTCTGTGCAACCTAGATTCCTTCAGAGGCGATTGAGTCCAACCCTCTCATTTTACAGATGAGAAAACTGAGGCCCACAGAGGTTAAGTCATTTGACCAAGTTGACAGAGCTAATAAGTGGCAGATCTGAGATAGGTACCCAGGTCCTCTGGGATGAGTCAAAGATGCCCAGAGTGCTGAGTCTGGGTGCCTGGGAGGATGAGGACACCTTGACCAAAAATGAAGAAATCAGAACAGGTGGGGGTAAAGATGAGTTCAATATGGGGCATGCAAGGACAATAACAACAACAATAATAACTAACATTAAGCAGTACTTCAAGGTTTACTAGGAGTTGTATAATTATTATCTTATTTGATCTTCACAACAACCCTGGGATAAAGGTGCTACTATTATCCCCATTTTACAGATGAAGAATCTGAGGCAGACAGAGGTTAAGTGATTTGTCCAGGGTCACACAGCTAAGGAGTTTCTGAGGCAGAACTCAAATTCAGATCTTTCTGAATCCAGATCCAGTATTATATTCACTGAGCCACCTAGCTAGCTTGAGTTTAACCCGACAGAGTTCAATTATAATGGTGAGAAACAGAGAAATAGGGAGAGAGACAGACAGACACACACAGAGACAGAGACAAAGAAAAGAAACAGAGAGAGACACAGACAAAGCGACAGATAAAGAGACAGAGACAAAGAGAGACAGAGAAAAACAGAGAGAGCAGCGCTATTCAGCAAGGCATTCTCTGGGCCTGTGACTGCAGAGGATTCAGAGCTGAAAGAGACTTCCAAGATTAGTCTCTGCTGTAGGTGTTGCCAAATATCTCACAGGCATCATCTCATATGAGCCTCACCACCTGTGAGGTGGTCCCTACAACTATTATTATATAACCCATTTAACAGATGAAGAGACTGAGGCCCAGAAAAAATCCATGGATTTTCCTGAGTTTGTTGCCCAAGGAAGAGAGCAGGGCTTCAAACCCGGCTCCTCTGACTCTGATCTCAGCCCTGGGCTGTCTCACATTGGTGCTACAGGAAAGCCAAGGAGCGTAGAGGGCTCTTTGTTACTGAGCTTGTCCCTTCTGTGTGTTTGCCGTTTTTGTTGTTGCATGGATTTACTCCCCTAATCATCTCCATGCCTAGATTTCCCCGACCTACCCAAAGCTTGCAAGATGATGGAGGGAAGTGACTCAGAAGTATTCCGGGTAGCCAGAGGAAGCTAGCACAGTAGGAGGAAAGAAGCTGGGGGCGGAGAGTCAGGGAGGCTCACTTAATTACGGCATTACCATAATTTATAAGCTAAACGTCTGATCTTGGTATTAAAGGCCTTCAAGACCCTGGCCCAAGCTTACTATTCCTACCTGGCTGTTAGTGTGTTTAGAGGTCCCCAGTTCCTAGGGACCCCCATTTTCTAACTTTGTGACTTTGGATCAGCCACAAGACATCTAGGCCTTGGTTTCCTGAAAAATGAGGAGGTTTGATTAGGTGATCTTGGGCCCCTGCCAGCTGTGATGAATCATAAGTCTGAATTTATGAGATGGTGGGGCCGCATCCTGAGGCCTAGATTCAAGGCCTAACCTTGCCACTTACAGACAGGGTGAGACTAGTCATATCACTGAACCTCACTTCTCTCATCTGCAAAATGAGCAGAAGAAAAACTTGGTTCACAGGGCCATTAGGGGCTCATGGAGGGTGGGAAATGTGAAAAGCATTTCACAAGTAATCAAAATTCACCGCAGATAATCTGTCTTTAGAGTTGGTTGAAAGACACAACCTGGAAGGAAATTTCACTGCTGACAATCCAGTAAAATAGTCCTGTTGCTTCCTCCCATTCTCCTGCCCCCTGCTTTTACTATAGAGAGCCAGGCAGTGCCCCGGCATCCTCCGGGGATATACTGATGGGAAACAAGTTTGACATTTCCTGTTGGAGAATATGGGTCACAATACACCAGGTTCAGTCTGTACTTGGCTTGACAAAGAGGTTCTGCTACAGCCTTCTAGAGGCACATTCACCTGAGTTGTGATTTCTCAGATGCCCATCACTTTGACACGTTTCTCTTCCCAGCAGGAAGCTCATTTGACCTAAGGAGGCCACTTATCTTAGGGAGGTGATTTTGTCTTGGGACTGGTGACTGTAAAGTTGAGTTCCTCTAAAAGTGTCTGGTTTAAGTGATTTTTCAGGGCATCGGTGAAGGATGGAACACCCTCTTTCAGGGAAGAAACAACGGGCCTCGGTATTCACAAATACTCTGCACAGGGGCCTAGGCCACCTAGAGCAGCACACACCCCACAAGTCCACACCAACTCCTTTTCCCAGAAGCCAACTGGCCTCCCTAACTCTAGTTGTTCAGCCTGATTTTTCAGGCTCTCCTAGGCTCATGAGCTCTCATTGCACAGGCGTAGGGAGGCACTGGCCTTCAGGGGTCTGAACCCCAGGACTAGTTGGGCATCGTACCCAACAAGTATGAGGCATAGCTGGGGGGTGGAGGGTATATCGGATCGGGAGATGCCTTTGGGTAATAACTTGGCTTCTGTGTGTGTGTGTGTGTGTGTGTGTGTGTGTGTGTGCGTGTGCGCGCACAATGCTTGACCTCCCCTCCCCAAAGGCCTCATCCGACTGCAGGAACTTATCATGGCCCCATCACGCTACAATATCCGCCTGAAGATCCGCCAGCTCCCCATTGATTCTGATGACTCCCGGCCCCTGCTCAAGGAGATGAAAAGAGGCAGAGAATTCCGCATCATCTTTGACTGCAGTCACACCATGGCTGCCCAGATCCTCAAGCAGGTAAGTACAGGTGGGCAGATGTGCTCTCCTTCTTTTCCCTCCCTGTACCTCCTACCTCTTTCCCTGCTCCTCCATATCCTCTACTCTCCTTTCTCTCCTTCCTCCTCCACTTCTTTCTCTTATTTTTCCATTCCCCTTACCACTTGTCCTACCACTTCTTCCTCCTCTTCCTCCTCCTCCTCCTCCTCCTCCTCCTCCTCCTCCCCCATCTCTTATCCTTCCATTTGTCCTTTTCTATCTCCAACAGGAAGCTAGTAGCACAGTGGATAGAGCACTGGGCCTGCAGTCAGGAAGATCTGAGTTGAAATTTAGCTTTATTTCAAATTAGACTCTAGCTGTGTGACCCTAGGCAAGTCACTTAACTTCCATTTGCCTCAGTTTCCTCAACTGTAAAATGAGACTCATAATAGTACCTACCTCACAGGGTTGTTATGAGGACAAAATGAGATATTTGTAGAAAAAATCACTTAGTGCAGTGTCTGGTATATAGTAGGTGCTAAATAAATGCTTCTGCCTTTCCATCTCCTATTCTTCCATTTCTCTTCTTTTCTCTCTCTCTCTCTCTCTCCCTCTCTCCTAGCCTTCCACTTCTCCATCTCCTGCCCTTCCTTCCTCCTGCTCTATCTTCTCCTCAATTTCTCTTCCCTCTCTTCTCCCCTTCCTCTCCTACCTATCCATTTCCTCCTCCTCTTCCTCCTTATTAGTCTCTGTCTCCTCTTCTTGTTATATCCCTCTCCTCCTCTTTCCTCCTCCACTCCCCCTCCTCCCTCCTCTTTTCTCTCAGTCTCCTCCTCCTCCTCCCCCCTCCTTTTCTCTTTCCTCCTCCTCCAGCCTTCATTGAGCTCCTATCAGAGCATGGCAGCATAGAGTGGCAGAGAGCTGTTTGTGCCCTCTGGGGATGACACACAAGTGCAGACTCACTCTGAGACAGAGAGCATTGAACGAGTCCCAGATGAGGTCAGGCAGAGGGAGCTCAGAATGGAGTCTGTCCCAGAAGGATGGATTCAGTATAGTATAAAATATAAAACATGAGGGCTGGGCTTGGAAGAGGGCGGTGGGGGACAGGATGGAGAAGTAGGAGAGATTTTCTAAGGACCACATCCTTACCAAGCTAAATCTGGCAGGGGATGGGGAGTCCTAGGAGGCTCCCCATTCTATAAGCTCTATATAGCAAGTAGTCTGAGTTGTTGCAAGAGAGCACTTCAAGTACTGGGGTGGGGGTAGAGCAGAGTAAGACTGTGTTTTTAGGAGGACAGGCAAATAGAGTAAGAGGTCCCATTAAGCCTGGGCATGGGCTGACCAAAGGTGGCCACTACTCAGGATAAGCAACTCTCCCCTACAATGCCCCAGGGCATCCAGCAGCTGGGCAACGGGAGTCAGTTATCCCAATGCTGGCAGCAAAAATGGTACACCTGCAAAATCCCACTTCTGGATAGATGAGGCCTTGTGGGAATAGAGGGATAGAGGGCACCTTGGGGAGAATGCCTCCCTCTTTTCATAGAATGAGGGGCCATGGAAGGAAGGAGAGGCATGGGGTTTGCCGGGTGGCCTGCATATACCGACCCCCAAAGTGACTCACTCCCTCCTGCCTGCGATTAAATCCCGCCGGCTGTCCTCGCTTATTATGTGCTTTATTATAGTTTATTGTACCATCTGCTTGACTCATCTCAGGCAAAGGCTGATGGAGGGGCGGGGGGAATGAATGGCTTTTTGAGATTGGACGGGGTTTCTTTTCAGGACACAGTCACAGCATGGTGTACACATGGAAACAGGCCAGCCACTGCCACCAGTCCAAGAAATAAAATAGCAAAATGGCCTCAAACCCCCCTCAGCGGGTGCAGCCGAACAAACAGCAAACGCTCTGATTTGGACCAGTGCATATTTTAAAAGGCCATCATATTGTCCCAGAAAAATCTCCATATTTACTAGGAAAACTTCCACCTTGAGCTGGGCAGGGTTCTGCAGGGCAGGTGAGAGGAGGAAGAGGAGGAGGAAGAACAGACAGTGCCCAAAAGGAAGAGGCAAGACCAGGCAGGAGGAAGGAGGGATTAGATTCCCAGGTTCCCACTTTCCTCAGGTTGGGGAGGGGGGATAGATACAAAGCCATACTTCAAGAGAGGAGGAATCTAGGACACAAAGCCCAATCCCAAGTGGTGATGGAGGGGCCACAACACAGCCTAGAACTACAGAAAGCACCCCTGACACAGCCGGAAGCAGGACGGATGGAACCCAGACACACAGCCCAACCCTAGGAGAGAGGGAAGTTGTCTGGGACACACAAGCCAAGCCCAGACAGAAGGGAAGGGAACATGGACCTATGGCCTAAGCAGCCTAGCTTAGTTCAGGGAGACTCATCGCCTGGTTGCCTGCTGTGTAATGAATTTTTTGGCCAAAACATCTTGGGAAGAAGACTGTGATTTACATCATTTCCTGACTTACCATCCCCAGTTGCTTCCATTGATTCTCATATGCCAAAGTATCCAATCCTTGCCCCATATTTGTCACCATTCTCTGGACAAATTCCAACTTGTCAGTACTTGTCAGTGGAAGCAGTGTCCGCAAACATGAAATTACAGATCCTTCAAGTCCCAAAGAAGATGTCATACCATTGACTCATTGAGCTTTTGGTCAGCAACCTCCCATATCTGTTTTTCATGACCTGTCTTGTCTCTTCCCGCCCAGCCCACTGAAGGGGTTCATTATAACTTAATAATAATTGGGGTAGCCTTGCTACTGAGGAAAAGAGGATTGAGGGGAAGAGGAATTTTCTTTTTCCTTAATTTTTTTCCAATTATCAAGCATTTTCCCCCTCCATAATCTTCCTCTTCCTCTAGAAAAAAAAGGAAAGGGAAATCCTTGCAACAAATAAGCATAGTGAAAGCAAAACAAATCTCCCTTGGCCATATTCAAAAAATGTGTGTCTCAATCTGCATATTTGTCCATCACCTCTCTGTCAGGTTGTCTTTTACAGCACTGGTCCTTTGGACTCATGGCTGATCACTGCATTGGTCAGAATTATTAAGTCTTTCAAAGTCTTCCCATTTTACAATATTGATAGTATTAATTGTTATACAATGTCATATAATAACATTATACAACAAAGTTATATGGATATACAACAATGTTATATGTATATATAACATATGTATATATTATATACAATGCTATAAGTATAAATTATTCTTGGTTTGTTTTGCTTCATTCTGCCTCAGTCCATATATGTCTTCCCAGGTTTCTCTGAAATTATCTTTTTCTTTCTTATGGCACAGTAGTATTTTATTACATTCATATACCATAATTTGTTTAGCCATTTCTTGCATACCCATTTAGTTTCCAGTTCTTTGCTACCATGAAAAATGGTGCTATAAATATCTTTGTCTATAAAGGATCTTTTTCTTTTTTAAAAAAAAACTCTTTAACATATGGGCATAGTCTCAGTACTACTAGGTCAAGAGGTATGTACATTTTAATAATTTTGGAGGCATAGTTCCAAGTATTTTTCCAGAGGAAAAGAGGATTTGGAGCCTAGATTTCCCATTTGGACCATCTACATTAACCCAGTGTTCCAAACTCATGAAATAGTAAAATGTCAGCTATAGAAGGGACCTTGGTCCTTACAGTCATAAGATCATAGATTTAGGGCTAGAAAGGAACTTAGAGGCTATTGAGTCCAACTTACTTATCTCTAAGATGAGAAACTTAGGTATAGAGAGAGTATGGGACTTGCCCAAGATCACATGGATGGCAACATCGGGACTAGAACATGTTCTCCAGATTCCTATACTAGAGCTCTTTCTAGGCCCCCACTGTCCTTCTTTGCATGCATAGACTTGGGCCAACAAAAATTGACTATAGAAAGAAGGTGGGGAGGCAGGAGGTAGGTAGGCTCAGTACAGCAGAGAGGGGAAAAGATGAGATAAGTGGACGCCCCATCCACTTATCTCCCATTAGACTAGGCTGAGCAATGATAGCTGAAGCTCTTTGGCCAAAGAGAGGAGATGGATCTCTCTACTTTGCTGAAGCCTCCCCCTAACTGGATAATTGACTACCACAGGTCACATCTAGGGCACAGAATTGAGTTGGAAATGAAATCTTTCTTCCATTAGGAGCACACTGAGGCCCTGTGCATTTTCCCAAAGCTCCAAGGCCCTTTTCCATTGCAAGAGAAGCTAGCTTATCTCTATCCCAGACTACTTAGCCTTAATGATTGATAGAATCTCAGAGCAAGAAGGGGCTTTAGAGGTCTCTAGTATCACTTTCCTCCCTGTGCAGAAATCCCCTCTAAATCTACCTTATGTCAGATCATTTAGGTTCTCATTCTTATTGTTTGTCCTTCATTCTTGAAGAGGACCAATAACATCAGGAGGGTGATGTCTTGATTTGCAAATGAATCGGATTGAAGTGAGGCAGGGCTGTGCAAAGCCATCAGCCTCACTCTCCAGAGTCATCAGAGTCTAGTGGCAAAACATAGGTCAGGAAGACTGGCAATGGCCCTAGATGCACTGGGGAACTTGGTCTTTTAAGCTAAGGTCTTTCTCAGATCTCGGTTTGTCTGAGGCAACACCCATTCAGTGATTAAAGGCTAGGTAAAAACTGAGGCAAAAGATGGCCTAGTTTGCCTTCACAAAAGGTTTAGTCTGAGAGGGGAAGACCCTCAGATCTTCTGGCCAGAACAGAAACAATTGCTATTTACACTCATGAGAAGCAGTATGTTTTTCTTAATACAGAGTGTCCCAAAATCTTAATACAGTTTTAAGTGTTGATAGCTGAAAACTGCACTAAGACTTTTGGGACACCCTGTATAGAACCAAAATACGTTTCTCTGCAACTTATATTCATTAATTCTCACACCATTTCTTGCAGGAGAAAAGATCCATTCAAGTAGAAAAAGTCAAATATCCCTCTTCCACATGAAAGTCCTTCACACACTTGATATCATGTTCTCCCATGCCTTCTTTTCCTGAGGCTAAACATTGCCAATTCCTTCACTCAATCTTCAT